GTGTTACAATGAGTTTTGCTGTGTATTGCAGTGTGTGTGGCATAGTGTGTTACAGTGAGTTTTTCAGTGAGTTTTGCAGTGTATTGCAGTGTGTGTTACAGTGAGTTTTGCAGTGTATTGCAGTGTGTGTGGCAGAGAAGATAATGTTCTCAGGTTAATATTTACACAGCAAGTGTCAGATTACTGAACACACTGTGAAATACAACCAGCACAGAGACCAACAGAGGAATGTGATGAAAGAACAGCGTCAACAGAAATAACAAATAAACAGAAGAGAGACGAAAAACTGATCTGAGAGCCGCTCTGACTGTTTACAGCACATACAGAAATCTCTGATTCTAACAGGAGACACTGAGGCTGCGATATCCCTCAGCAGGAAACTAAACTACTGTGTAAAATGAAAATGAAGAAACTATTTCATGATGTAACACTCTGCACTAATAAGAAGACACTGTTGAATAGATCCACTTCCAGTTAATTAATGCCAGCTAATTTCTCAGATAATCCACAGAGAGCCCAGCAGCTCAACCGTGAAAGTTGTGTTCAATTCAGTATACATAATGAGTAATAAGTGAATATTTAGTTTGGTTTAAAATTCAAGTTTCCTAAATAGTATAACGTTTCCAAATAAAAAAAAAATTTTAATGGAAAAAACTGTAAAATGTTGATCTCGTTTTCTATTCTTAGCTCCACTAATCCCCATGCAGTACCAGCACTAACAGGCCAAACATACATACTGACCTGAACTCCACAAACTTTCCTCCGTCACTCGTTACCCACAGTGTCGTCCACTCCACTGCATGGCCGGACCTGCTCAGGTCCACTCCGGTCTCCTGTTAACAGTCATGTTGCACTGAGTCATGTTGGTTTCAGTTCATTCATGTTCACCACAGAGACAGCCTGAAGCTAAACCAAATCACTTTCTCACTGCTCACCAACGTTCTTGCCTTTGTGTTTCCTTGCCATTTCTCCCTTTCTCTGTCTTTGGCAACCAATCAATAGGATACATTACAACCGTGTGACCAGTCAGTCAGTGTTCTTGTGTTCTCAAGTCATCAGTCAAACTACTGAGTCACATCAGAGTCACATGTAGAAGTTCAGCCCAGATGACCTGAAGAGTTCTCGCTGTGGCAGTTTTATCAGATCTGATGGAGCTGACTGTGTGGACTTGGGCCATGTATCCCAGAATGCATTTTGCAACAGCCACCAGCCACAGTGTTTGGAGATTGTTTCAGAGGTTTCTGGAGACGTGACACCAACTGGTCGCCTCAGCAGCTAGCCACTCCTGAGATGAGCTTTCAGTCAGTGCCCATGGTCATCATCCTGTGGAGGACAGCGTGATGTCATCATCCTGTGGAGGACAGCGTGATGACATCATCCAGTGGAGGACAGTGTGATGACATTATCCTGTGGAAACAGCGTGATGACATCATCCGTGATGACATCATCCTGTGGAGGACAGCGTGGTGACATCATCCTGTGGAGGACAGCGTGATGTCATCATCCTGTGGAGGACAGCGTGATGTCATCATCCTGGAGTCCTCTGGAGTCCAAACGCCCATAAACCTGATCTGAACTTTGTGTATTGAGGAGTTGAAAAAGGCCTCAGGAGTTCTGTCCAGGAATCTTCCTGCGTTATTATTCAGACATTGCAGAGCTGTGAAACAAAGCGTTTCCTTTCGCTGTTCACTGGATCGATCTTTAGCAGCAGCGTCACAAGAACAGTACAGTTTGTCCTGAAGGTGGCGCTAAAGGAAAAGGTCCTGTTGTTACCTGACTGTAAAGGCTTTACCGTCTGTTCAGTGGCCATGTTGTCAGACCAGACTGGACTCAACAGTAAGGAGTAAGACGCAGCTCAGAGAGTAGGATGTTCTGATGGATACCAGTCACGTGGTTAGCCTAGCTTAGCATAAACACTGGAACGGGGGAAACCGCCAGCCCTGTAGCACATAACTTTCTCTAAAAACCACAATCTGTAGTTTTTACATTTCTGTTTGTGTTCAGATGAAACAGACACTCAGCAACATGTTTGTCGCTGAGCTTTAGAGGTGAACCACTGGGGAATACAGTTTTGTTGAGATGTCTCTGATGCAAAGTGAACCAAAAGACAGAAAGAGAAAGTGACAGGAAGCAGGAGAGATAAAGAGAGGAGGACAGGAGAGGACTGGAGAAGACTGAGAGAGAGGAAACCAGAGAAGAAGAGAGGGATGAAGCAGTTGCAGATGCAGAAGAAGCGGAGAGGTAACATGTTTCCTCCAGAGTTGTCAGTTCAGCGAGGGACGGCCTCTGATCTGTGCTGGATCTGATCATTCTGATTGACAGGTTTCAGTGTGACTGCAGATGTGATCAGCTCTGAATCTGTCCTCTGTTTGGAAAGTCTGAAGTGGACGTGGTCTTTCAGCAGGGCCTCGGGCCTCTGCAGTCTGACTCCGCTGATCGTCTTCTTAAGACTCCGGCTGGTTGAAGTTCGCTTCGTCTCCTCCTGGACACTGAGTAACAGGTTGACATGTGGGTGGCGTTTGTTTTGCGAGTTCAGTCTTTGTTCAGTTATTTAGACTCCAGATGGCAGACGGACACATGTTGAGGCCCTGGACACCCTCATATCTCTAAGTAGTTTTAAACGATTTTCATTATGTGTTTATTCAGTTAACTGTTCAAATATTTTCTGTAAGTTTTATATCCCCACATGAAGCTTTGAGTGCTGTTTAAAAGCCTTCGGTGGAGAAATATTGATCCTAATGCTAAGAGGCTTCCTGTGAGGTTTGTTCAGAGTCAGAACTCAGTTAACTCACTTGTTTCAGCCTGATGAGCGTCAGCTGCTCATGAGAAGGTGTGTGTTTGTGTGATTTAATCATTAACATCTTCAACAGCCCTGAAATGTCCACATGAAGCCGCCTCTTCTGCTTCGTCAGTGGGAAGGTTTGTGTCACAAAACGGTTGCCAGAAAAAGTTGCTTGAGTTTCGAGCCCAGAAACCAGCAGTTCATCAGAGGAGCAGTAATAATGAGAAAATGTTAATAAAACAGCTGTTAATGATCAGAGGGAATTATTTAGCATAAAGTGAGACTGCAAAACGTTTCACTAAAGCATAGTGATCCATGACTAACAAATAGTATTATAACAGGTGTAACATCACCTGTCTGTAGACGATACTGAGCAAAGACCTGCAGGAAGGAGCTGCAGTAAAGAGACTGTGATTGAGCATCGCTTCTGATTTCACCCGCTCGTCTCTTAATGTGGACAGTTTTATTTAAAAGGTGGATGGTTACGTATCAAGACATCAAACTGTTTGACCCTTTTGGCATCAGCTCAGTGAGGAAGACCTCAACATCTCCACCTGCTGTCCCTCAGGTATGTTGCATCAGCAGCTAATCAAGAGTCACACCCTCAGATGGTAGAACAGAAGTGAACCCTCCAGTTTGACATTTTGGCCGTCGCCATCTTGTTTTTTTGGAACCGGACGTGACCATATTTGAACAAGAGGGTGGAGCTAGCTAGCTTGGTTAGCAAGGTGCATCTGTAATTCACGTTAACTGTGATATTAGCTGGGATGCTAATTTTGGCTAGTGACAAACAGGCTTAAAACAAAACTTACTTCCTGACAAATGAGCAGCACTCATGATGTCCTGTCTGTTGTTGCAGCAACAACCTCAACCAAATGTTTCATGTAGCTGCAGATCAAATCCGAACAACAGTCAGGAGGAATTTTGGACCCTTCCTCTTTACAAATCTGTTTCAGTTCAGCAATATTCTTGGGATGTGTGGTGTGAATCGCTCTCTTGAGGTCATGCCACAGCATCTCATTCAGGTTGAGGTCAGGACTCTGACTTGGCCACTCCAGAAGGTGTATTTTCCTCTGCTGAAGCCGTTCTGTTGTTGGTTTACTTCTGTGCTTTGGGTCGTTGTCATCTCCTGTTGAGCTTCAGTTGGGGGACATTCTCCTGCAAAATGTCTTGATAAACTTTGGAATACATTTTTTCCGTCGATGAGAGCAACCCTTGCAGGCCCAGAGGCAGCAAAGCAGCCCCAAACCATGATGCCCCCTCCACCATACCTCACAGTTTAGGTTTTGATGTTGGTGCTCTGTGCCTTTTTTCCTCCACACATGGGGTTGTTTGTTCCTTCCAAACAACAGAATATTTATCCAGTAGGGCTGTGGAACATCCAGGCGCTCTTTTGCAGCTTCAGACTTGCAGCAGTGTTTTTTGTGACAGCAGAGGCTTCCTCTGTGGTTCCTCCCATGAACTCCATTTGTGTTTAGTGTTAGACGTTTCGTAGAGTCGTTAACAGAGATGTTGGCATGTTCCACAGATTTCTGTGAGTCTTCAGCTGTAACTCTAAGATCCTTCTTAACCTCGTGCTTGTGCAGTAATCTCTGCAGGACGGCCACTCCTAGAGAGAGCAGCAACAGTGCTGAACTTTTTCCATTTATAGACAGTTTGTCTTACCGTGGACTGATGGACATCAAGCCTTTTAGAGATACTTCTGTAACCCTTTCCAGCTTCAAGCAAGTTAATAATTCTTAATCTGAGGTCTTCTCAGAGCACTTTTGGTCAAGGCACGGTTCGCATCAGGCAAAGCTTCATGGGAATAGCAAAACTAAAATTTATGTGTTTTTTTTATAGGGCAGCTCTAACCAACACCTCCAATCTCGTCTCATTGATTGGACTTCAGGTTGGCTGACTTCCGACTCCAGTTAGCTTTTGGAGAAGTCATTAGCTTAGGGGTTCAAATAGTTTTCCCACCCTGCACTGTGACTGTTTACTCAGTGTGTTCAATAAAAACATGAAAACATATAATTGTTTGTGAGGAGTTAGTTTAAGCAGACTGTGTTTGTCTGTTGTTGTGACTTAGATGAAGATCAGATCACATTTATGATCAGTTTATGCAGAAATCCAGGTGATTCCAAAGAACCTTTTTTCCTGCGACTGTAAAAAAGAGAAACTGGCTCTTGATGTTCAAACCGCTGACCTTTTCTCCCGGCAACCGTCATCGGGATCAGCACACTGATGACATCATCTTAAACGCTGTGCTGTGTGTCGGTGACATCATCGGGGGCTGCTCGCTGTGTGTCTGCAGACTCTCGGAGATTCAGACGGACAGCTGCTGTCAGAGACGCTCAGCGTTACCAGACAGGAAGCAACAACCTCCTCCACCATCATCTTCATCGTCTTCATCAGGTCCAGACTCACATGCTCCTCTCCTGTCAGGTGCACTGACCTCTGACCTCCTTCCTGGCTGGACGGAGGGCTGGAGCTAATGCTTATTTTATTATTGATTCATCTGCAGATTCATATATTTAAACGTCCGTCCCAGTTTCTTTAAATGTCTCGTGTCCGACCGACAGTCCAACACCCAAAGAGATTCAGTTCAAAGGTAGAAAACAGAGAGAAAATGTGATCGTTTTGTTTTATTTTGATTAATTAATTGATTAATCCACTGATCGTTACATGCGGCGGCAGCAGCTGTTAGACTTTACACAGGGCAACTTGTAACTCAGAGTTTGATGGTTAAACGCTCCGTTTGCTCTTTTGCTTTGAAGAAGATTCTCATTCATCGCTCGTTAAGTTCAGTCGGCGCTCAGCTGCTACGTAGAGGATCTTTGATGTGAAAGACTACGACTCCCAGAGGAGCGTGTGAGTCAGTGTTTGTTGTATAAATGATGAGAGCTGCGAGCCTCGAGGCCTCTCTCTGACAGGTCGCACACTGTAAAAAAAAAACACAGTTAAACACTGTGAAAAGTGATGCGTCACTTTTACTGTTACTACTGAAGTGGAAAGGATCCCAAAGATCAGGACAAGGATAACGCTGCACCACCAGACCAGCTTACAAACACACTCCTCTAGTTACTGTTGCTCAGCTGTGATTGGACAATCAGTGATGAGGGGTGTGGTTTGGTGATTCAGTCTCTTGATCAGGTTTGAAACTACCTCCAGTCTGATCAGGTCCGTTGGAGTCCTGCAAGTCTCAAGTCTGTGTCAGGGCAACATGTTTGGACACATGGTCAAAACCCGTTGGCGTTGGTTTGTAACGCCCTGGGGGAAGCCATGTAGCGTCATTTATGAACGTTAAACGTAGGATATTTAACTGGAACGTCAGAGTAAGGAGGTGGTTGGGGTGGATGGGTGGCCCAGAAACCGGACTTTCACCCAGGAGTCCAGTGGATGTTTCCTGTGTGAAACAAAAAGGCAACATTCAGTGTTTTAATTTAACGTTAGTTGTGTAAGTACCAAACTTACACAACTAATGTTACTTAACTCACGTAAGTTAAATCACAAAAGTAACGTAGTTATTTTAACCCAAACCATGATCTTTTTTCTAAACCTATCAAAATAGTTTTGGTTCCTAAACCTAACCAAATTGCAATTTTTCACAATGTGAACCATGTTTTATTTTGAAAGTCTAACTGGACGTTGCATATTTATTGTTGCTAACTTGACTACGGAGCCCTGCATGGAGTAGAATGTAGCTGCAGTACCGCAGGCTGAAGTTTCAGGACCACAATCCTTGGACCGGCACTGCATTTGTTGTAAGGTGACCAGATTTCTGAAATGAAAACCAGGGACATGTTTGGTGGTCAGTATGTCACTAAAAAATATATTGTTATAATATATGAAATAAAAAGGGGGGACGATTTCGGTTTTAGAAACTTTCAAATATAAATTACATTTAGCTGATGCTTTTATCCAAAGCAACTTACAATTGCTCTACATGTCAGAGGTCGCACGCCTCTGGAGCAATGAGGGGCTAAGTGTCTTGCTTGGGGACACAATGGTGGACGTGTCACAGTGGGGAATTGAACCCGGGTCTCTTACACCAAAGGCATGCATTTTATCACACTGTACCATCACCACCCTGAATCTAACTAACTCTTCAGAATGAAATCAAGTCATTTTGAGGCAGAAACTACCTTTCAGTCAATAAAGTCTGCAATCACTTTCTGGCTAGTAGAATAATGTATTATATAGATTGTTTTGGCCATTCAGAGGTATTTTAACAGGTAGAAAGGACTGGATTGGTTGGTGCACACAAAGTTAAATAATGTAGTCATAAAGATAATTGCAAAACAGATTATGTCTTTATTTTCTATATAACTAAGCAGTAAGTCATGTTAATTATAGGCCACAGTAAATATAAACAAGGATATTAGACACAGGCCTGCCAAACACATAATCTATCAGCAACAACAAGCTTCTATTATTGCCTATAATCACGTAAATGTCAGGCCTGGTTATGCTATAAACTGTAAACTTATTTAGCCACAATTGTGTTTGATCCAGATAAAAGCTCCCGCGGACGGCAATCAGTTTTAAACGATCAACTTTTCGGCACGACACCTGTCTGATCTGCTGTCCATCTTTCTGGCCACGTAAATCTGACTTCAGGTCTGCTAACACCTTATACAGTCTATGATTAACACAGTTAAAAAAGGGGACATTTCCGGGAACAGGCCACCAAAACCAGGGACTGTCCTCTGAAAACGGGGATGTCTGGTCACCCTAATTTGTAGGACCCTTGCATACTTTACGTTGGTCAGGGTGACTTATCGTCCTCATCATCGTCATCTTCATCACAGAGAGAAGTGCAGGAACTTCTCCACCACAGCTGCTCGTTAACTGGCTGAGCATCAGCGGTTCTGGACCTTCTTCGGGTCCCTTTATGCCGTTAAAGGACCAGGTTTTCATTTGAAAGTGAAGACCTGATTTTCTCCCAGTTTGTGTTTTATAACAAGTGTGTTTCACTTTCAGAGCTGGTTTAAAGATCTGAAGATCTGCAGCCTCATTAGAGACGCTGGAAATGTCAGCTGCATCCAGCCGACCACACACACACAGAGGATGAAAAATAGGTTACATACAGTTTGACAGGAAAACAAAGAAAATGAGGCCACAGTGAAGCGAGCGTCCACACGTCCATCCAGAGGATCTCTGTGTGACTGACCTACATATGACCTGCTGAATATAAATCAGTCTACACAGCTGCAAAGTCTGGAAAATCTGCTCTCACATTAATCATTTGTTGCCTGAAATGTTTTAATTTGCCTCCTCACCTCGGCCCTTCACTCACAGACGGCTGCTGTGTAGTGAAACTACTGTTATCCTGTGAACTCTGTTTCAGAGACGCGGCGACGCGTTCGAGCAGCTGTGCAGACTGTGTGTTTCGTGTGAAAGGCGACACGATTAACTGAAGAGGTCCAGTTTGAGTCAAAAGACCCACGAGCTAGAACAGGTTCAGACTGGTACTAGTAAAAAAAGAAAACTGATTCTTTTGATTCTGGTCTACGCTGCTGCGAACTGCCTCCAGGAAGAAAAAGCTGTCACTTCAGCCTACTGTCCTTGTCCTTGTGGGGCTGTATGTGCTCTCTGCTGAGAATGTTGAGTACTACAACATGTAAACTCGACCTGACTCAACTGCTGAGGCCAGCTCTCGTACAGACATGCTGCCCTCCACACTTCCTAAAGAATACCGAAGAGACTGCTTCAGGGGCTTCAAGGGTCGCCAGATATCATCAAGTACCAGAGTCAGACAGTACACTCAGTGCTAGTTAGCATGTTAGCTTGTTAGCCTGTGGATATTATTCTCGCTGAGATCAGCTCTCGTACAGACTTTCTGCTCTCCAAACTTCCTTAAGAATACAGAAGAGACCACTTCGGGGGCTTCCGGATATGTTCCTGTAACAGAGTCAGACAGTACACTCAGTGCTAGTTAGCATGTTAGCTTGTTAGCCTGTGGATATTATTCTCGCTGAGATCAGCTCTCGTACAGACTTTCTGCTCTCCAAACTTCCTAAAGAATACAGAAGAGGTTCGGTGGCTTCTAAATATGTGTACCAGACTCAGTGTTTGTTAGCTTGTTAGCCTGTGGAGTTTGTTGAGACTCTCTGCTGCAGTTTGTTGAATAAAAACTAAAGTGCCTGTAATTCAGTGTAAATAATTGTTTTGAATTTTGATCCGTGGTCAAAGAGCTCCCCATCGACATCAGAACTGCACCTCGGCCCATAAGATAAAATAATTACATAGATTTAGGTTTATTTACTTAGCTTCCTGTAGCCATGTTGCTTTGCTTCCACTCGATACCCACGTATCATGTCAGCGTCCTGCAGTCTGTGGCGCGAACACCAAATACTGGAACAAGCTATGTCGTTATATTAAAGTTATATACACAGAGGTCTGTATTAAAGCAGGAACGCTCAGAGAGTCACCTGTGGTTCTGTACCGGTTCATCTTGACACGCTTATTCATTGGTCAGGAGGGTTGTGGGGTGAAGTTGCTGCTTCCTGATGTTGAATCCACGTTCTGTTGAGATCCATCATGTCTGATAACAATCTGACAACATTTATCAACAAGTTATCATCATCACATCATCAGGGCATGCTGGGATATTTTGAATCAGACTCGTCAGAATAAAACACCTGACAGGTGAAACCTGTCAGAGACTGCACTCTTTAACTCAGACTGAACACAAAAAATCCTGTTAGCGGCTGCAACATGCCGACGCCTCTGTAGAGACAAACATTCTTATTCCCATAAAGAACATCTGAAGTTTCTGTTTGTAAAGTCAGAATTACAAAAGAAGCTTTGACTGCATGGAAGTGAATGAGAAAAACTTCTCTCCACAAATACAAAGTCAGTTCTTACACAACAAGATTCAGTGAGCTTCTGCTTCTACTGTCAGTCTGAGGAGAGACTTCCACAATAAATGTTCCAGTAAGGTGTTATTACAGCCATTTATAGCGCTGCTTATGTGACTGACAGTTGTAAGAGCCAACCACAGTCAGCCGTAGTCGTTTCTGTTTTTATGTCCCACCGTGTCTCAACCCAAGGTCACATTTTGATTGACACAGCAACAGTCATATGGATTGAAACCACACTCACACACAATTCAAACAGCGAACATAAAGAGAGAAATCAAGTCCACTCCCTGAACACACTCTGACTTACATCGCACTCTGTACTCTGACCAGTCTTATCAGAGGGAGAGAGGGCGAGGGACATAAATAGAGAGAGAGAGAGAAAGAGAGTAAAGGAAAACAGAAAGAGAAAAATAAAGGGCGAGTGACATAACGAGAGAAAGAGGAGAGAGAGAAACCGACAGAAACACTGAGCTAGTCTGGAAATGGCAGCTGAACACACACCAACCCAAACCATTCATCTGTAGAGGTACGACATGCACACATTCACACACTAACACACACACGCAGCACAGGCATGCTGGCGTTTGTGTGATTAATCAGCGAACGCTTTAAACGTCTTTTACGACTGAAGTGAACGAGAGAGAGAGAGATGGGGCGAGCGAACACGTGTTAATGATGTGTTAATAGCAGCACATGTCGACATCACACTGTGATCAGTATCAGCGCACATCCTGCCTCCACTACAAGCTCCTAACAAGGAGGCTCCTTTACCTCCTCACTACCTAACAAGGAGGCTCCGTTACCTCCTCACTACCTAACAAGGAGGCTCCTTTACCTCCTCATTACCTAACAAGGAGGCTCCTTTACCTCCTCATTACCTAACAAGGACGCTCCTCACTACCTAACAAGGAGGCTCCTTTACCTCCTCACTACCTAACAAGGAGGCTCCGTTACCTCCTCACTACCTAACAAGGAGGCTCCTTTACCTCCTCATTACCTAACAAGGACGCTCCTCACTACCTAACAAGGAGGCTCCTTTACCTCCTCATTACCTAACAAGGACGCTCCTCACTACCTAACAAGGAGGCTCCTTTACCTCCTCACTACCTAACAAGGAGGCTCCGTTACCTCTTCACTACCTAACAAGGAGGCTCCTTTACCTCCTCATTACCTAACAAGGACGCTCCTCACTACCTAACAAGGAGGCTCCTTTACCTCCTCATTACCTAACAAGGACGCTCCTCACTACCTAACAAGGAGGCTCCTTTATCTCCTCACTACCTAACAAGGTGGCTCCTTTACCTCCTCACTACCTAACAAGGTGGCTCCTTTACCTCCTCACTACCTAACAAGGAGGCTCCGTTACCTCCTCACTACCTAACAAGGTGGCTCCTTTACCTCCTCACTACCTAACAAGGAGGCTCCTTTACCTCCTCATTACCTAACAAGGACGCTCCTCACTACCTAACAAGGAGGCTCCTTTACCTCCTCACTACCTAACAAGGAGGCTCCTCACTACCTAACAAGGAGGCTCCTTTACCTCCTCATTACCTAACAAGGACGCTCCTCACTACCTAACAAGGAGGCTCCTTTATCTCCTCACTACCTAACAAGGTGGCTCCTTTACCTCCTCATTACCTAACAAGGAGGCTCCTTTACCTCCTCACTACCTAACAAGGTGGCTCTGTTACCTCCTCACTACCTAACAAGGAGGCTCCTTTACCTCCTCACTACCTAACAAGGTGGCTCTGTTACCTCCTCACTACCTAACAAGGAGGCTCCTCACTACCTAACAAGGAGGCTCCTTTACCTCCTCACTACCTAAAAAGGTGGCTCCTTTACCTCCTCACTACCTAACAAGGTGGCTCCTTTACCTCCTCACTACCTAACAAGGAGGCTCCTCACTACCTAACAAGGAGGCTCCGTTACCTCCTCACTACCTAACAAGGAGGCTCCTCACTACCTGACAAGGATGCTCCTCACTACCTAACAAGGAAGCTCCGTTACCTCCTCACTACCTAACAAGGAGGCTCCGTTACCTCCTCACTACCTAACAAGGAGGCTCCTTTACCTCCTCATTACCTAACAAGGACGCTCCTCACTACCTAACAAGGAGGCTCCTTTACCTCCTCATTACCTAACAAGGACGCTCCTCACTACCTAACAAGGAGGCTCCTTTATCTCCTCACTACCTAACAAGGTGGCTCCTTTACCTCCTCACTACCTAACAAGGTGGCTCCTTTACCTCCTCACTACCTAACAAGGAGGCTCCGTTACCTCCTCACTACCTAACAAGGTGGCTCCTTTACCTCCTCACTACCTAACAAGGAGGCTCCTTTACCTCCTCATTACCTAACAAGGACGCTCCTCACTACCTAACAAGGAGGCTCCTTTACCTCCTCACTACCTAACAAGGAGGCTCCTCACTACCTAACAAGGAGGCTCCTTTACCTCCTCATTACCTAACAAGGACGCTCCTCACTACCTAACAAGGAGGCTCCTTTATCTCCTCACTACCTAACAAGGTGGCTCCTTTACCTCCTCATTACCTAACAAGGAGGCTCCTTTACCTCCTCACTACCTAACAAGGTGGCTCTGTTACCTCCTCACTACCTAACAAGGTGGCTCCTTTACCTCCTCACTACCTAACAAGGAGGCTCCTCACTACCTAACAAGGAGGCTCCGTTACCTCCTCACTACCTAACAAGGAGGCTCCTCACTACCTGACAAGGATGCTCCTCACTACCTAACAAGGAAGCTCCGTTACCTCCTCACTACCTAACAAGGAGGCTCCTCACTACCTAACAAGGAGGCTCCTCTACCTCCTCACTACCTAACAAGGAGGCTCCTTTACCTCCTCACTACCTAACGAGGAGGCTCCTTTACCTCCTCACTACCTATCGAGGAGGCTCCTTTACCTCCTCACTGCCTAACAAGGTGGCTCCTTTACCTCCTCACTACCTTACAAGGAGGCTCCTTTACCTCCTCACTACCTAACAAGGAGGCTCCTTTACCTCCTCACTACCAAACAAGGAGGCTTCTCACTACCTAACAAGGAGGCTCCTCACTACCTAACAAGGAGGCTCCGTTACCTCCTCACTACCTAACAAGGAGGCTCCTCACTACCTAACAAGGAGGCTCCGTTACCTCCTCACTACCTAACAAGGAGGCTCCTCACTACCTGACAAGGATGCTCCTCACTACCTAACAAGGAGGCTCCGTTACCTCCTCACTACCTAACAAGGAGGCTCCTCACTACCTAACAAGGAGGCTCCGTTACCTCCTCACTATCTAACAAGGAGGCTCCGTTACCTCCTCACTACCTAACAAGGAGGCTCCTCACTACCTAACAAGGAGGCTCCGTTACCTCCTCACTACCTAACAAGGATGCTCCTCACTACCTAACAAGGAGGCTCCGTTACCTCCTCACTACCTAACAAGGACGCTCCTCACTACCTAACAAGGAGGCTCCTTTACCTCCTTACTACCTATCAAGGAGGCTCCTCACTACCTAACAAGGAGGCTCCTCACTACCTAACAAGGAGGCTCCTTTACCTCCTCACTACCTAACAAGGAGGCTCCTCACTACCTAACAAGGAGGCTCCGTTACCTCCTCACTACCCAACAAGGTGGCTCCTTTACCTCCTCACTACCTAACAAGGTGGCTCCTTTACCTCCTCACTACCTAACAAGGACGCTCCTCACTACCTAACAAGGAGGCTCCTTTACCTCCTCACTACCTAACAAGGAGGCTCCTCACTACCTAACAAGGAGGCTCCTTTACCTCCTCACTACCTAACAAGGACGCTCCTCACTACCTAACAAGGAGGCTCCTTTACCTCCTCACTACCTAACAAGGACGCTCCTCACTACCTAACAAGGAGGCTCCTTTACCTCCTCACTACCTAACAAGGAGGCTCCTCACTACCTAACAAGGAGGCTCCTTTACCTCCTCACTACCTAACAAGTTGGCTCCTTTACCTCCTCACTACCTAACAAGGTGGCTCCTTTACCTCCTCACTACCTAACAAGTTGGCTCCTTTACCTCCTCACTACCTAACAAGGTGGCTCCTTTACCTCCTCACTACCTAACAAGGAGGCTCCTCACTACCTAACAAGGAGGCTCCTTTACCTCGTAACTACCTAACAAGGAGGCTCCTCTACCTCCTCACTACCTAACAAGGAGGCTCCTTTACCTCCTCACTACCTAACAAGGACGCTCCTCACTACCTAACAAGGAGGCTCCTCACTACCTAACAAGGAGGCTCCTTTACCTCCTCACTACCTAACAAGGAGGCTCCTCACTGCCTAACAAGGAGGCTCCTTTACCTCCTCACTACCTAACAAGGACGCTCCTCACTACCTAACAAGGAGGCTCCGTTACCTCCTCACTACCTAACAAGGACGCTCCTCACTACCTAACAAGGAGGCTCCTTTACCTCCTCACTACCTAACAAGGAGGCTCCTCACTACCTAACAAGGAGGCTCCTTTACCTCCTCACTACCTAACAAGGACGCTCCTCACTACCTAACAAGGAGGCTCCTTTACCTCCTCACTACCTAACAAGGACGCTCCTCACTACCTAACAAGGAGGCTCCTTTACCTCCTCACTACCTAACAAGGAGGCTCCTCACTACCTAACAAGGAGGCTCCTTTACCTCCTCACTACCTAACAAGGAGGCTCCGTTACCTCCTCACTACCTAACAAGTTGGCTCCTTTACCTCCTCACTACCTAACAAGGTGGCTCCTTTACCTCCTCACTACCTAACAAGTTGGCTCCTTTACCTCCTCACTACCTAACCAGGTGGCTCCTTTACCTCCTCACTACCTAACAAGGAGGCTCCTCACTACCTAACAAGGAGGCTCCTTTACCTCCTCACTACCTAACAAGGAGGCTCCTCTACCTCCTCACTACCTAACAAGGAGGCTCCTTTACCTCCTCACTACCTAACAAGGACGCTCCTCACTACCTAACAAGGAGGCTCCTTTACCTCCTCACTACCTAACAAGGAGGCTCCTCACTACCTAACAAGGACGTTCCTCACTACCTAACAAGGAGGCTCCTCACTACCTAACAAGGAGGCTCCTTTACCTCCTCACTACCTAACAAGGAGGCTCCTCACTACATAACAAGGAGGCTCCTCACTACCTAACAAGGAGGCTCCTCACTACCTAACAAGGAGGCTCCTTTACCTCCTCACTACCTAACAAGTTGGCTCCTTTACCTCCTCACTACCTAACAAGGTGGCTCCTTTACCTCCTCACTACCTAACAAGGAGGCTCCTCACTACCTAACAAGGAGGCTCCTTTACCTCCTCACTACCTAACAAGGAGGCTCCTCACTACCTAACAAGGAGGCTCCTTTACCTCCTCACTACCTAACAAGTTGGCTCCTTTACCTCCTCACTGCCTAACAAGGTGGCTCCTTTACCTCCTCACTACCTAACAAGGACGCTCCTCACTACCTAACAAGGAGGCTCCTCACTACCTAACAAGGAGGCTCCTTTACCTCCTTACTACCTAT